ATGCCTGATGACTTTTGATTTGACAAAATGTGAATTTTGCCTTTTTTTTTTTAAATAGTGGAGAATAAGCTCAGGGCCTTCACTCTGGCCTTGTTATTTTTTTACTTAGAGATACGGTCTCACTAGGCCACTAAGTGAACCAGGCTGGGGTTGAATTTTGGATACTCCTGTCTCAGCCTCCCAGATGGTGGGAGCACAGGCCCACGGAGCCATGCCCAGCTTTTTTCCAATTCATTTTATGAGGCTAGCGTCATCCTGATATCCAAGCCAGGCAAAGCCATCATAGAAAAAGAAGACCACAAATATCCCTCATAAGCATAGATATAAAATTTCTAAGTAAACTTTTAGTAAATCTTCTTCTTCCTCCTCTTCCTCTTCTTCTTCCTAATTAAACTTATAGTAAGTCTTCTTCCTCCTTCTCTTCCTCCTCCTCTTCCTCTTCCTCTTCTTCTTGTTCTTGTTCTTCTTCTTCTTCCTTTTTTTGCAGAACCAGGGAATTATTTTTATTTATTTTTTTGGTGGAAACAGGGATTGAACTCAGGCCCTTGCGCTTGCCAGAGAAACGCCTATTCTACTGAGCCATCTCCTCAGCAGAACTGGGGAATTAGCAAATAAAATTGTGCAGCATTTTAAAGATAATACATCATGGTGGGGTAGTGACTCACAAGTCTAGTCCCACATGCTAGGAATGCAGAGGCAGGAGGATCTCCACACTGGAGGCCAGCCTGAGCACGTAAGCAAAATCATCCTAAAATGAATGAATGAAAGAAAGAAAAGAGCGCTGGGCAGATAGAATAAGCACTTCCCTGGCAAGCACAAGGGCCTGAGTTCAATCCCCAGTTCCACCAAGAAAGAAAAGAAAAGAAAAGAAAAGAAAAGGAAAGAAAAGGAAAGGAAAGGAAAGGACAGGAAGAAAGGAAGGAAGTTAGGTTGATCCGGGGATGTAGGTTAAGAGGTAAAGAGCCCACTGGCTTTGAATCCCAGTACTGTTCTCCCTTTCATGAAAGGTGAGAGAGGTTGGAGTCAGTCAACAGCCAGGAGAGGAGGCGCACACCTGTGATTCCGGCACTCAGGAGGCTGAGGCAGGAAGACTGCTTCAAGTTCTAGGCCAGCCTGGGCTACACAGAAAGTTCTTGAGTTAAAAGGGCCTAGGTGTGTGTGTGTGTGTGTGTGTGTGTGTGTGTGTGTGTGTGTGTGACAGAGAGAGAGAGAGAGAGAGAGAGAGAGAGAGAGAGAGAGTGTAATAGAAAGTGACACTGTTCATAAGCTGAGGGCAGACTCAGCCCGACGGGTGGCTGGAGCGCATCTCACTTGCAGGAGGCAACATTCAAGCTATTGGATGTCACTTCCCCAGTAAATTTCTCTCATTAGCTCCTGACCCGAATGCTACTTCAGTCGAATTCCAGTGGGATTTTTTTTTTTAATCTACTTAACAAGAAGATTTTCTAAATTGATATGCAAGTCAATGTTATGACTGGCAGAGAACTTGTGAAAAGAAGAGAGAGGAGAAAGCAGAGAGAGGAGACGGAAGGAAAGTGACAGCAAACCAGAAAGAACAGCTGAGGACCTGTGCTATTACACAAAACCCAAACAGTAGAAACCAATAGCTTCCAGAAGTTGCCCTATGTATCAATGGAAATTCATATGTTCTTTTTTTGTTTTTTTTTGAGACAGGATCTTGCTGCAAAGTTCAGGCTGGCCTTGAACTTGCCATGATTCATGCCTGGTTCTGTCATTTTCTTTTTTCTTTCTTTTTTTTTTTAATATTTATTTTATTTTTATTTATTACATTTATTTATTGTGTGTGTGTATGTGTGGCCAGCTCAGCCCACCAGGGGGCGGGTCTGGCTGGCATGTGGTGCTGGGGATCGAACCGCGGTCCCTGTGCTTTGCCACGCTTGTTTCAAGTAGGTGCTTTAGACCACTGAGCCATCTCACCAGCCCATAAGGTAGTTGTTTTTTTTTTTTGTTTTGTTTTGTTTTGGTGGAACTGGGGATTGAACTCAGGCCCTTGAGCTTGCCAGGGAAGCGCTTATCCTACTGAGCCACCTCCCCTGCTCATTTTCTTTTTTCTTCCTTCCTTCCTTCCTTCTTTCTTTCTTTCTTTCTTTCTTTCTTTCTTTCTTTCTTTCTTTCTTCTTTTTCATATATTTGGTACAGGGTCTACAGGGTCTCACTATGTATATCCGACTCAGTGATTCTCTGGTTTTCAGCCACCCAAGCCCTGGGATTACAGACCACCACACCCAGTCTCAATCACCGTTTTATCACTCCCTGCCCCGGGGGCGGGGCGGCATGGAACCCTGGGGAACAGACCCCTGCCGGCTGCTGCACTCTGCCTAATAAGCAGGCCTTTAGTCTGCTGAGCTATCTGGCCAGCTCTGTCATTTTCTTTAAACACAACAAAGATGGGCTGGTGAGATGGCTCAGTGGTCTAAAGCACCTACTTAGAACAAGCTTAGCAAAGCACAGGGACCGCGGTTCAATCCCCCAGCACCACATGCCAGCCAGCCCCGCCCCCTGGTGGGCTGAGCTGGCCACACACACACACACACACACACACACACAAACAAAATTTAAAAAAAAAAAACTAAAGTCAGCTGGGCGTGGGGGTGCACACCTGTGATCCCATCACTTGGGAATCCAGGCAGGATGATCGGTGTGGGTTTGAGGCCAGCTTGGGCTACATAGTGCGACCCTGCCTCAAAAATAAAAACAAACAAATGAATGAGCAAAAACAAAAGCTAATCCGGTTTTGAACCCATGTCTACAATCCCAGTGCTCAGGAGGAGCACAAATTTGAGCCCAGTCTGGGCAATTTAGTGACTTCGGTGAGATTCCATCTCAACAAATAAAAGAGCTGGGGCTGGGGATTTAGCTCAGGGTGGAATGCTTGCTTAGAAAGCTGGAAGCTCTGAGTTTGGTCCTCAGCACCGAAAACAAAAGCAACAACAAAAAAACCTCAGCTAAAAAAAATAAAGAGCAGGAGATATAGCTCAGAGAAACACCCTGGGGTCAATCCCCAACACTACAAAAGAAGAAAAACAGTTAAAAAATAAATAAATAAAGCCTTTAAACAATCCTCCATGTTTTGATAATAACAGAGAAAATCCCCGCTGTTGATTGCACAAACTCACTTTGGGGCGGAGGCGTCAGGCTCCTCCGAGATCAAAGACGGGCCAACAGCGCCACCCAGTGTCTGTGATTCGCTTTGCAATGACGTCCTTTCTGGCCTGAAAATCTTAAACCAAAACTTTTCTTTTGGACAATCCCTTAAAAGTAAACTGTTTTAAGGCTTTTGAAGAAACAATTTTTACAAATCATTTTATCTGTTGTCTTCACCAGCTTTGTGAAAGGACAAGTGCTTTTGTTGTTGCTGGCTTCTTTTTGAGGCAGTCTCTTGCTATGTAACCCAGTGTGGCCTTAAGCTCCCAGGGATCTTCCTGCCTCAAGCTCCTGAGTGCTAGGACGACAGGCACACGCCACCACACCTTACCTTGTCTTGCTTTTGTGTTCACTATAGCCAAAAGAGGTCCTGACTATGCGAGTTCTGCTGGGTAGGAGACAGCAGCCTGCTGAAGGGACCACAGTGATGGCATTTGTCTCCTGGCCCAAAACCCAGCTCCTTCTCTCTTCTGATTGGCTCATGTGTGGCTCTGTGCCTGAGCTTTTGGGTAGAAATTTAAAAATATGTGGCATACCCTTGGGATAAGAAGTTTGAGGCACTGTCAGCCCAGGACATCGGAGCAGAGGCGAGAGCACTCATGTGTCCCCGTGTGCAAAGCAGGGTCAGACAGAAGCCAAATGCCTTCCACGGCTGAGGGATGAGGGGTTCCCTCTGCTTGCTCCTCTTTCCCTGTGTGTCACCTGCCCTATTCATAGTCACTGGAGAGCCAGACAGCAAGTGGCCCAGCAAGCCCTGTCAGCCTTCGGCAATGCTGTGGATTTGCGACGGGACGCGGGCTGGCATGGAGCTCAGCGTCTGGCGTTGGCCCGGCATGTGTGTGGTGGGGGTGGGTTTGGTCTCCAGTTCTCCCCAAAGGGACAAAAAGTAGTTTTGTAAAAAACAGTGGCTTGTTAATTAATGTATCAGTCAGGGTCTAAATACACAGGACCCAGCACTTGGGTGTGGCGGCTCGCACTCGCGAGGCAGAGGCAGGAGGACCGCCGTGAGCTCAAAGCCAGCCTGGGCTTCATAGCGAGACCCTGTCTTGAAGAAACAAACAAACAAACAACAACAAAAACCCTCAACTGAAACCAAATCAAACCAAAACAGTTCCACCGAAGGGTAGAGCTATACCCGTATCTTACACCGTAGCCATTACACTCACTTCCAACTGGATGCAAGGCACATTCCAGGCCAACACGAGCCTGTGAGGGAGAACGGCAAGCTAGAGGCAGGGTGCCCGCCCTTGGCATCCCAGAACCCGCTGCTGTGCAAGAGATGCTAGGAGCCATAAAATCCGGACCAATCCAAGTCTAAATGTAATGTAAAACTATTACATGTATATATTTTTTTCCTCTTTTCGCGTGGCACTGGGGATAAAACTCAGGGGTTTAAGTATTGAGTTACATCCTCACCCCATTCCCACTTTTTTGGAGACAAGTCCTCCCTATTTTGCTAAATTGCCCAGGCTGGGCTCAAATTTGCAATCTTCCTGCCTCAGCTTCCCACAGTGCTGGGCTTACTGGCATGATGGTTTTCTTTTTCTTTTTTTTTTTGTCCCTTATTTTAGAGATGAGATTCAGGTAAGGGAGTAGATGGAAGTGGGGACGGTTGCAACAAAACCAGGTGAAAAATGACTTAGGCCTGTGAAAATCAGGACACACAAGAGGAGCAGAGAGGGGAGATACCTCCTAGGTTTTTTCCTGCTAACGGAGAGGGAGCTGGCTGCCCGATCTCGCGATACCTGGGCTTCCCCCGCCTCCTTCGCCTTCAGCCAGTAACAAACATGGCCGTGAGCGCGGGGCTCTTCCGCCAGGACGTGGGGTTAAGGGTCATGAGAAAGATGGCGGCACCCAGGAGCCGTTGAGGCGTGCAGTACGGGATGGCTCTGGTGGCCCTGGGTCGCGCGGGGCGGCGGCTGAAGTGGCCGGGCCCCGGGCGCGGGCACTGGACGCCGGCCGAACGCTCGCGGAGCCGGCGCGAGGCGGCAGAGGCCGAGGCGGACGCGCCCGTGGTCCAGTACGTGGGCGAGCGCGCCACCCGCGCGCACCGCGTCTTCGTGTGGGGCTTCAGCTTCTCGGGCGCGCTGGGCGTGCCCACCTTCGTGGTGCCGGGGGCCGGGCCCGAGCGCTCCGGCTCGCGGCCGCGCCGCAGGATCCAGGCCGTGCCCTACCGCCTGGAGCTCGACCAGAAGGTGCGGACCGCGGCTCGCTCCTCCTACCCGGGTAGAGAAGTTGCGGTCGCGGGGGGACCGGGACAAGGGCGACCCGCGACCCGAGCTGGGGTCGGGAGCCGCGTTAGAGGCCGCCGCTGAGACTGCGGTGCGGCTGCTCGGCGGCGTCCGTGTTCAGCGTCCCGGGATGGCACCCGCACTGTAGGGGAGCGCGGGGACACACAGAGCCGAAGGCCACGGTCCCAGCTGGTGGGCGCGTGTGGTGGGCCGCGGACCAGGCGGCCTTTGAGCTGAGCTACATCCCCGGCTGTTGTTTTCATCGTACACTTTGTATTTTTTAAAATCCCGAGACAAGGTCTCGCTAAATCGCCCCAGCTGGCTTGGATCTTGCGTTCCTCCTGCCTCAGCCTCCCTCAGTCCTGGGATTCCAGGCACGCGACCCCGTGATCCTCTGGCTCCATGGAAGACACTAGTGGCAGAGGGCATGGGGAGAAAGCTGCTGTGCTCGAGGCAGGCCGCGGTCAGCCTTTCTCCTTCGTGCACCGGGTCCTAGGGCGACTGCGGAGCCTGGCAGAGATGGCAGGACCATCTGGTCGCTGTATTAAGTGCAGGATTCAGCAAATAATCATTTCAGACCGGGACCCTGATCCCTCAAATCAGGTGACCCAAGGGAGCTGCTTTTCAGATTTCCTCTGCCGCCTGTGGCTACGGATTCACACTGCTGGCCTCCAGAACCAAGGACATCACGAAAGTTTGGGGCATGGGGCTCAACAAAGACTCTCAGCTTGGATTTCACAGGAGTCGGAAGGATAAAGGTGAGCATCGCCCAGGGATCTTTGCTGCCACAGAGGAGGAACAGACAGGGAAGAGCACTTTGGCCTTTGTGCCCACGACCCAGAGGCTTCCGGTTCAAGGGCAAGAGCTTGGGGTTTGCTGGGCAGCGAACAGGCACCTGTTTGTCGGGGAACCCACGGCACTCAACGTGTGGGCAGGGGAGAAGTCAGTGAGGCCCTGAAGGTGGAGGCTCTGTTCCACACGTTTGAAACTTCCGTTGTCAAAATGTTAGAAATAGTAGGCATTAACTAGACAATATTTCTTTCTTTTTTCTTCATTAATAGACAGTATTTCTTAAAATATAGACTGTCAGCTGGCCATGGTGGTGCACGTCCGTAATCCCAGTACTCTGGGAGGCTGAGGCAGGAGGATTGCAAATTTGAACCTAGCTTGGGCAATTTAGTGACTTGGGGAGACCTAAATAAAAACATTTTCAAAACCAGAGTAGAGGGGCCAGGGAGATGGCTCAGTGGAATAAGCGCTTCCCTGGCAAGTTCAAACTCCCGGTTCTGCAAAAGACAAAACAAAACAAAACAAAAAAAACAACAGAGTAGAGACATGGGTCAGTGTGGAGGCTCTGGGTTCAGGTCCCCAAACTTATCTGGGAAGATTAGAGATAGTATGTATCTTTATTTATTTATTTACGGTACTGAGGATCAAACTCAGTACCTTGTGCTTGCCAGGCAGGTGCATATACCACTGAGCTATCTTCCCTGGCCTACATACCAGTTTTATCATATATGGGAGAAATTATACTGAAGGACATACTGGGCAAACCTTTCTTCTTCCCCCCCTTCCCTGGCTTATTTGGAAATATGTCTACATAATTTAGATCACGGTATATTTTTGTTTTCTATCTTTTTCACTTAATTCTTATATCAGAAATGCATTTCTTTTAATATTTATTTATTTGGTACATGGTCTCAGTACACAGCTTGGACTCCTAGTGATCCTCCTGTCTCAGCCTCCTCAGTGCTGGGATTACAGGTGTGTGCCACTATGCCTGGTTTTGGGGCAGGCACAGCACCATGGGCAGCACAGCATGCCATCCTGGGGATTGAACTTGGGCTGCACTTGCCAGGCAGGCGTTTAGACTGCTGAGCTAGCTCCCCACTCGGAAATGTCTTTTTTTAAAAGTTAATATCAAAGAATTTACTAGCTGTAAGATGTGCCTTACATTTATTACGAGAGCCTTTGGACAGAACAGTGAGATAGGTTGACACCAGCTTCAGCTGTCACCAGCTTACTCTGGTCGTGTTTTTTGTTTTTTTTTTTAATGTATTTAGTACAAGGTGTACAGGATCTCACTACACAGATCAGACTCATAGTGAGTCTCCTGTTTTCAGCCTCCCAAGCGCTGGGATACAGGTGCACACCATCACGTCCAGTCTCAGTTGCAGTCTCAGTGCGCTCCGAGGGGCAGGGCCGCCACGGCACACTGGGGTTCCAACCCCGGTCCCAGCATTTGCCTAAGCTGGTAGTTTAGTCTGCTGAGCTGTCTGGCTGGCTCTCACTAGTTGTGTTTATTCTTTTTCCCAACTTAAATATTTTGGTTTTTTGAGACAGGTCTCACAGTGTAGTTTAAGCTGGCCTTGAACTCACTGTGGAGCCCAGGCTGTTCTGAAATTTTCAGCAATCCTCCTACCTCAGCCTCCTGAATGCTGGTATTACAACCTAGTTTCCCCATTTTTACCAAAAGAAAAAAAAAAAAAGGACCCACACACTTTTGGGTCTGGGAAGATGGCTCAGTGGAATAAGTGCTTCTCTGGCGAGCGCAAGGGCCTGAGTTCAATTCCCAGTTCCACCGAAAAAAAAAAAAAAAAAAAAGACCCACTTTTTTTTCTTGTATGTTTAAAGCAGATTCCAACATTATTTCATTTGTGAGGTTTCATTTACTGACTATAAAAATAAGGACCCTTAATTCTGTGGTGGGGGGAGTGCGTTGGGTGGAAGCTAGCTGTGAGGCACACCTGCACCCTGGGTTTCTTTAAGAAGACAGCCAAATCTCTCCATTCGGGGGTGTGCCTTCATGCGGAGGCTCGGTGCTCTCCTGCAGCCCGGGGCTATGAGTACGTGCTGGAACCCTCACCAGTCTCCCTGCCTCTGGACCGGCCCCAGGAGACCCGGGTGCTGCAGGTGGCCTGTGGCCGTGCGCATTCACTCATCTTGACAGACAGCGAAGGAGGTAAGGTGCCAGAAAAGGCCTTGGCCACCAACCTTTCTGTTCTCTGTGGGTCTCCAGTAAACGACAAGTGTGAGCTGGCTGCCATGGCCCACGCCTGAGATTGCAGCTGCTTGGCAGGCTGAGGCAGAAGGATCTCAGTCTCTCCACTTAGCAGCCCTGTGTTACTGTGTCTGGTGACCCAGGGAAAGGGTGACCTGGGGCAGCCTTTACATTCATCTCCCACCTGAGCCTTGGGTCGTGAAATACACAGGTGGAGTATGGAGTTTTTTATGAGGGGACGAGTGCCCAGGGTACCCCAGCAATGGGTGCAGGGTGTGGGGTCCTCACCTCCTACTGTGGGGCATTCCTGGGGTAGGTGGGCTCCCTCCAGAGGCTGGGTGTGAGAGGTGGCCAGGGCCCTGGGCTGAGCTGACTAACGGCGGTGTCCTTCAGTCTTCAGCATGGGCAACAATGCCTACGGGCAGTGCGGGCGCAAGGTGGTGGAGGACGAGGTGTACAGGTGAGTCCCCAGGCGTGGTGGGTGCCCGTTCACCAGCTCGATGGAGGGTGCAGGAATGTGCCTGTGCTCGGGCCATCCTGTTTAGTTCACCCAGAGGCTGAGCGTCAGCGGTTTCCCTTCATTTCAGCCATTTATTCAGGTGCTTCATTGTCCTCCAGTTCTTTGTACCACTCTGCTGGGGGCCTCAGACTTGGCCTCTGCTTATGAAAATCAGCTCGGGTTGGCTTTGGTTTGGTTTTCTGTCCAGGCCCAACTCTGCCCTCTCTCTGAGCGTTGAGCGCTGAGCCCTGCGCCCTGCGTTGGCGGCCAGCTTGCAGTGATTGCTCTCCCCTCAGAGTGCTGAGACCCGTGCCCCTTCCTGATGGCTCACCCACTTCCCTCCTCATCCCACTGAGCCCGGCTCCCTCTTCTCAGGCATCTGTCCTTCATTGTGCTCTTTGCTCATCTGTTGGGTATCTCACATGGGAGAAACCGTGGGATATTGACCCATGTCTGATTGGCTTCACTTAGCGCTATGGCCTCGGGTGTTTTCCTACAAGTGACCCTACTTTGCGCCTCTTCAGAGCCTGTTGGGCACAAATCATGGCTCTACCTTGTCTGCTCATTTGTACATGGGTGGAAGGTGACTTCTGGGTTTGGCTGAATGTGTGGCACAGCTGTGAGCCCGAATGGTGGGGTCCCTGTATGGCCTGTCTCTGTCATCTGGGCATTTGCCTGAGAGAGGCAGTGCTGGCTCAGAGGTGGTGCTGTGTTTAGCTGTCCCTTCACTGTTCCTCTCCCTTCTCCCCCCACGCCCGGCTGTAGCGAGAGCCACAGAGTGCACAGGATGCAGGACTTCGATGGCCAGGTGGTCCAGGTAGGGGACACATGCTGCCCCTGTGCTGAGGGGGCTGAGGCAGGTGGAGCAGTGGCTGATTGGTTAGGGAGATTTTCTGAGTGAGTAAGCAAGTCAGAGCTGTCAGCCTGCCACCCCCAGGCCTGGATTTGCACTGGGTGTTAAGGCTGAATGTTTGGTAAGATTTCCATGGCTGGCAGGCAGTAGGGGGAAGCCAGGGAGCTGGCTATGTCTTGGCGTCGTTGGCGCCATTGCATACAGGCTGGCTGTGTACCACTCACCAACTACTTCCTGTGTCTGTGGGCCATGGCTGACATGGGTCTCCAGTGTGAACCCTCAGGTGCAAGCCTGAGTGCCACCTCCTAGGAATGTGGGCAGCGAGGGCCCAGCTGAAGGCTGCAGGGTAGAGGAGGGTGCTGAGGTCACAGGGCTGCCGGGGTAGCATGGGAGAGGCCCAAAGTGCTGGAGAGCTTGGAGGGCGGGTGGTGGGAGGTGGCCAGAGTGCTGGAGTGCTGGAGAGTGCTGGGGCGAAAGCTGCAGGTTGAAGTAGGTGGTGAGCAGGCACTGGGCCTGGCGTCCACCTTAGTGCGTGCGGAGTGTGGAGCCGGTGGCTGTGCAACACAATGCGGTAGGATGTGTGATGTTACTTGTGCTCCTTGGATAGAGATGGCCTTGGTTGTGGTGTGGCAGGGATGGGGAGGGGCAGGGGACACTGAGGAGGCGTGAGTATGATTAGGAACGGGGATATGGACGAGAACCATGGCAGGGGGAAGCAGGCATGGCTGGAAGGATGCACAGAGCAAAGCTCTAGGGTCCTCAGTCTTCTCCCCGCTCTATCCACAGGTCGCCTGCGGGCAGGATCACAGCCTTTTCCTCACTGAGCAGGGTGAAGTCTATTCTTGTGGCTGGGGTGCCGATGGGCAGACAGGTATGATGTTTGGACCCTGGCAGTTGCAGTCCAGGTTATGTGACCCAGCTGTGAGTACTGGGGACTCTTGAGCTTCCAGGCAAATGCTGTTTTTTTTTTTTTTTTTTTTGCGGAACCAGGGATTGAACTCAGACCCTTGTGCTTGCCAGGTGCCAGGGAAGTGCTTATTCTACTGAGCCATCTCCCCAGCCTCCAAAACTTTCACGTTTTTTTTTTTTGGCAGAACAGGGGATTGAACTCAGGCCCTTGCGCTTGCCAGAGAAGCACTTATTCCACTGAGCCATTTCCCTGTCCCAACACAAATGCTGTTCTTTTGCCTCCCTGTTTTTCTTGTCCCTGGATCCCTTGGAAGTGAACCAATAAAGCATCCGGAGTAGACTCAGAGTCTTGGACCGTTTTTTCCCCTAGTATCAGGGATTGAACTCAGGGCCTTTGCACCACCCCCAGCTCTTTTTTTGTTCTTTGAGTCAGGGTCTCACTAAATCTCTACATTGCCCAGGTTGTAATCCTTCTGCCTCAGCCTCCTGAGTGCTGGGATTGCAGGTTTGCGCCACCATACCTGATCATAATTGGTACATTTTAAAAACCCTGCAAGCCTGGCATGGTGTTGCACGCCTATAATCCTAGCAATCTAGGAGGCTAAAAAAGGAAGATCGTTGTGAGTTTGAGGCCAACCCACACTACATAGTGAGACCATATCTCAGGAGATATACCAATTACGAGTATGACCTTTTTCCATTGAGAAAACATAAGGAAGGTATGTGTGCACAAAGAGAAACAGGTCAGGATTTCTGAGTGTTTGTTGAGGGCTTCCAACTATGTTTGGCCTATTGCAGATCTGAATAAGTTTGCAGGAAGGGTGGATGATGAAGTGTTTCCCTCTGTGCTAGGTCTGGGTCACTACAACATCACCAGCACACCCACCAAGCTGGGCGGAGACCTTGCTGGAGTGGAAGTTGTCCAGGTTGCCACCTATGGTGACTGCTGCCTGGCTGTGTCAGCTGATGGGGCCGTGTTTGGGTGGGGAAACTCTGAGTACCTGCAGCTGGCATCTGTGACAGACTCCACACAGGTATGGTGCCTTGTGGCCAGTGCCCGGTGGGCCTCACCAGTCCAGGAGGCAGGATACCTCTCAGGCCCGAGCTGTTACAGACCATTGGCTTTGCCCCAGAAGCTAGATCAGCTGAGGTAAAATGTTTGCTCCACATGGTGCTGGTGTACTGCTGTCCTGCATCACCCAGAAAGCATCAGTGTCTCCAAAAGAGACAACTGGCGGGTGTGGTGGTGCAAACATGTGACCCCAGCACTCCTGAGGCTGAGGCAGAGGATCATTGTGTGTTTGAGGCCAGTCTAGGCTCACAGTGAGGCCCTGAGGATGGAGCACAAAGACAACCTGAGGTCAGCTAAGCAGGTGGAAAAGGCTTTCTCTGTGGTTTGCCCTGTGGCTGGAAGTGCCCTAGCTGCCTTTCAGACCTGGCCTGTGCTCGGGTTCTGACAGCTCCAAGGAGCCCCACTCACTAGGCTCAGGGCACCTTGCCTCCCCTGGTCTTGGCTCTGTCTGACTCCCCTTTGCTGCTTCCTGTTCTGCAGTCTTCCCCCTTGTTCCCCTGCACCCCCTCTGTGTCTGCCACCTTGTCCCTCACAGCTTGGACTTCTCCCAGTGTCCCAAGTCCCATTGAGTCCTTGCTTAGCCAGACGTGAGCACCTTCCCGTACCAGGTGAGTCTGCCCACATCTGAGCCAGCGCAAATGTAACTTGGTGTAAGGCTTTTTTTTTTTTCTCTTTTTGTGGCCAGCTCAGCCCACCCTGGGGGCGGGACTGACATGGCATGTGGTACCTTAGGCAGCTTTTGGTGGAACTGGGAATTGAACTCAGACCCTTGCACTTGCTAGGGAAGCGCTTATTCCACTGAGCCATCTCCCCAGCCCCCTGAGACAGGGTTTGACTCTGTAGTTCAGCCTGGCCTCAAACTCTTGGTGATCTCCTACCTCAGCCTCCTGAGTGCTGAGATTATAGGTGTATGACTCTATGCCCAGCTTGATGTTAGTTTTGAGTGACAGCCATGTCCTTCACTAGACTAGGACTGCCTGAGGTGGAAACTGGGTCCCTTTTATTTTGTGACAGCCTCTGCCCTGATGCCCCGCACATGGATCATGTGATGAGGCAGCTGGCTGTCCAGGCCTGTGTCTTGACCAAGTGACCCTGTCCCCAAACCAGGTCAACGTCCCCCGGAGCCTGCCCTTCTCAGCAGTGGGAAAGGTGAAGCAGGTAGCCTGTGGCGGCACAGGCTGCGCTGTGCTCAACGGTGAGGCCCCTTCCGGCAGTGGCGAGTGTGGAGTGTGGAGCAGAGGTGGGGACATGGCCAGCATGGAGCACGGGAGGACAGTGGTGTGCTGTGTGCAGGGAGCCTGGGTTGGGCATAGCCGCTTCCTTCCTCTCAGCCTGGGCCTTTCCTCTCCAGCTGGAAGTGGAAGACACTGAGGCCGGAGGATGGAAGTCAGCAGCATAGTGTCTCCAAAGGAAAAAAGAGAGAAGGGATAGAGTCTAGATGCTGAGGCCCATGCTTCTGGCTAGTGGCACTGCTGCCAAGAGTTGCATTTAGTTTTAGGAGGATGAACCCAGGGCCTGCACCGCAAGAATCTCCTCTGCTTCTGGGCTGGCCCAGCTCAGTGTCAGTACTGCGGGGGAGGGGGGACCATTACGCTAAAATTTCTGAGTGTTTTGTGAGGGCCCAGAGACTTTTGATATGTTTGGCAGGGTTTTCAGTCAGTGTGACACTCAGCACTGTCAGTGTCCTTATGTCTGCATGGCTTTTCTGGGTCAGACTGGTCCCCTGTGCCCCCGGCCTGCCCTCAGAATGTAGGGGTTTGTGCTCTGAGAGTGGCCCGGCAGGCAGGCGTTGAAGCAGGGGGAGGGGACCGTGTCAAGTCCCTGTTTGTGTTCTGGTCCCCAGAGAACCCCCCAGCCCTGCGGCTGTATTGCGAGTGGGTGGTACCGTCTGCTTTTCTGGCAAGGGTGGGCTCAGCCTGGTTTGACTTCCTGTCCATTGTCTTCCTGTAACGCAGGAGAAGGCCGTGTTTTCGTTTGGGGCTATGGAATTCTTGGGAAAGGCCCCCGCCTTGTGGAAACTGCTCTCCCAGAGATGATTCCCCCCACGCTCTTTGGCCTAACAGAGTTCAGCCCAGATGTCCAGGTTTCCCGCATTCGATGTGGACTCAGCCACTTTGCTGCCCTGACCAGTAAGTGACCAAGCCAGCAGGCCAGAGTGTGACAGGCAGAGAGATGTCCACTCTTGTGGGTCCAAGCTTTGGGCTCCTCCTGGCACCCGTCTATCCGTCCATCTAGTGAGAGGCACTGAGGGCGGGTGCAGCTGTAGCAGGTGAGCCACTTTGTCATCTGGAATTTGGCTTTGGGGTCCCTTGGCTGGTGGTTAGGCAGTGTGGCAAGGAGTGACCTCACGTGTGCACAGGTTGGCGGCAGGAGAAGGGTACAGCTGGGTGCCAGAAGAAAGCGCCAAGGCTGGCGCGTCTGTGGTGGAGGTTAGGAATGAGCATGGCCCTGCCAAGCCAAAGCCTGCTGCAGCCTGGAACAAGGACTTGAGGGGCTGCTTGTGGCTTTTTGGAATTGAAGCTACTGCCAATTGCAGCAGGGTACTGGTGACAGTGATCAGGGCAGTGGGGGACCCAGATTGCAGACTCAAGGCTTGAGCTGTGTTAGGGCATGTGGTCCCCGCCCCGTGCCGGGTCAGGTTGCTGCAGTCTGCCACCCCCGAACAGAGTACAGAGTTAATTGTGCTTTTGTGATCCTCAAGCAAGTTAGCCGTGTCTTGCAATTAAAGAGTCCCTTCTTCTGAGGCCAAGTGTTTTCTCCCTGAGTGTCTGGGTTGGACAGGCTGCCCAGGTTATCCCGGTTCAGTATCTCCAGCTCTGCTCCGTGAGCCATGTCCCTGGAGGCACCACCCTCCGCACCAGGGTCAAGAGCACTCGGCTCAAAAATCTGTGCCCCTGCCCTGCCACTGGGGGATCAGGAGACCTGTGGAGTTTGAACATTTTTATTTACTTATTTTTTTTCTGTCTTTACTTACGTTTGTGTAGCTGGCGGTTGAAGCCAGAGCCTTGCCCATGCCTACCCCTCTGTGCACCCCGGCCCTCTCTTATTTATCTGGGGATGCCTGGGGCCTCACATGTCCTGAGTGAGTACCCTGCTGCTGAGCTGCATCTACAGCTGGTTTTTATTTTTAAATTTACTTAAGGATTTTTTTTTCCTTTGTAATGAAAGAGGGTTATTAAGTGCGTGGTTTCAGCCATTCAAGACAAGGGGCTGACGTGGTCTGGTCTGGGCGATGGCTTCCTGCCTGGCAGAGTCCTGGGTGGCCTGTGGCAAGATCCCCCGAGCACCCGTGTTCGTGTCTGTATTTTGTTTTCATGGTGAATTTTTGGTGCTGTTCTGATTTAGCAAATAAAGAGTTTTATGGATTAATCTTGGGGGCAATTACCCATTTTTCCAAGGCTTTGTGCAGAGGGAAATATTGGGGAAGTGTAGAAAGCATTTGAGAGACTTCTGTCATCCACTCTTCCCAAGCCATCAGCCCTTCTGGGCTTCCTCGATGAAGCCCCTTCTGAGGGACCCCACGGCCTCCCCATGGTGTGTGCTTCTGCCCTGGACTCATGTCTGTGTGCCAGCATGCAGGCCCCCCCAGGCCGCGGAGCTGGCTGGTGCTGGGCGCACAGCCTTGGGCTGCGCCGGGTGGCCCTAGCCACTCGCTGAGGGAAGGGCAGGCGTCAGGCCGCAGGACCAGAGGAGCTGTGAATGGTTGGTCCTGCCTCTCCACATTTATTGTTCCTCTGCAGCCCTGCTTGAGCCTCTGCATGAAGGGTCCAGGCTGCAGAGACGTTGGAATGACCTGAGTTACGAGGACAGATTCCCAGAGTGCCGGCTGGCAGCATCTCCAGCTGTGGCTAACTCGCTTTGCTGTTGCTCTGACCAAAGACCTGGGCTTGGGTCCTCTGAAAAGAGCTTTGTTTTGGATCAAGCCACAGATCAGGGGCTGTGCGGTGGGAGAGAGGCACAAGGGATCTCTTGACCGTGCGCTCCCACAGGGCAGTGATGGCCCCTTTGTGTGGGTAGAGCCACTGACCTGTTACCTGTGGAGGTCCCAGTGCCTCTTGACTCCGTGACAGTGGGGACTAGGTCCCCAGTGCAGGAACTGTGGGTGTCAAGCCATGCTGAGACCATAGTATGGCTCACCCTTTCAGAGCACTGTGTCCTCATCCTACGGGCCATGACTTACACTTTGTAGCTGTGTGCTGGCTGGTTTCTTTCTTTTTTTTTTTAATTGTATTTTAGTAAAGGGTCTTACAGGGTGGGTATTCAGGGTCTTACTACTAGATCACACTCATAGTGATCCTCCTGTTTATAGCCTTCCAAGAGCTGAGATTACAGGCGTGTGCTACCACACCTAGTCTCACTTGCCGTCTCAGCTTGACCCAGGTGCAGGCCCAGGGATCGAACTCCTGGTCCCTGCACCTGCTTGCAAGTGCTTTAATCTACTGAACTATTTGGTTGGCCCTATTGATTATTTCTTTAATTGAGCTTGTGGGCCAGCTGAAGCCCATGAATGTCCTGCTCTCAGCTCCCAGCACTTGCACAGACCTGCCACACATAGGGACCCATAACTTTGCCACCCGAGTGAGTGCTCCTGAAGGTGGAAACCCAGACAGCACGGCCAGTCATCCTCTGATTAGGAAGCTCTGCTGCAGTGTTCTGGGGGGCAGGGTTGGGGGACCATGCTGGGCGGGTTGCTGGGGACAAGCAGGAGCCCAGGCATGCCCTGTGACTACACCTGTCCCTTTCCCTGGGGCTGAGCTGCCCGCATAGCTGCGTTCTCTGAGAGATGTGCTCTGCATAGTCCCCATACCCTCTCCTTCCTTTGCAGACAAAGGTGAGCTGTTTGTGTGGGGCAAGAACATCCGTGGCTGCCTGGGGATTGGCCACCTAGAAGACCAGTATTTCCCGTGGCGGGTAAGGACGGCCAGGCCTGGAGGGCTGGACTGAGGCTGCAGCGGGGATGGGCCTGCTCCTGCACTCCCCCCCACCCCCCCAGGCTCTGCACAGCCTCAGGGACTCTGAGGTAGCACTGCCCTGCTGAGGGTGAGACAGGAGGGCTCTGCTCAGGCAGTGTTGCCTCAGGCTGTGCAGAGAGCAGGCTGCGTGCTATGGAGGTGGCAGAGCAGGTACAAAGGGTAGGAGTGCCTGAAAGAAGTTACTGATTCTTCCTGAATACAGGGCCTCTATGCATGATCCAGATGCGTTATGCAGAACAAGTCTGCCAGCCGGCTCCTGTTCTGGAGGCAGCCAGGGCCCTGCTTGCTGGAGCTCCCTTCCGGGAGCTCTGTGACTTGGGCCAGCCCGGCTCTGCTGCATCCTGGGCCTCCCTGCGAGGACACACACTGGGCTCAAGCTGGGAAGCCCCCAGCTTTGATTCCCTCACGTGGTTACTCAGTGCAGCCGACCAGGGTGCTGTGCATTTGGGTGGCTTCTGGGCCTGGCCACCCCTTCCTGCCTCTGTTAGCCTAGAAGAACCAGGTGGTGAGCAGCAGGCCAGGCCTCATGGCACCCTGCAGTCCCCCTGTCCTGTGTCTGTTTTAGGGTGGCCGCTTCCCTTAGGACCTGATCACCAAGCAGAATGATGTTCCTGAGCTGATGTTGCTGCCCTTCTCAGAGGGTTGCTCAGGCACCGTGGGGACCTGGCTTCTGCAGCTGTCCCCATCATGGTGTTGGGAGGGCAAGTTGGCTTTTCTTTGGCAGGAAGAGCAGGGCTGGGCCCTTTGACATGGACACAACTGTGAGCCTGGTGCTGCCGCCAGGGGGAGCTGAAACCCAGTGGGCTACTGCTCCCAGAGGCCTCTGCGTGAGCGCAGGTGTTGTCCTGGCTGCGCTGAGGCTGAGAGGTTGCAACACTTTGGGCTTTAGTGGCCAGGCCATTTGGGGACAAGAATGTAGGTGCTGAAGAGCTGTGTGTGGGCCCTAGATGTGTGTGGAGCAGGCACTCTCCCGAGGAAAGGTAAACACTGTTCCTAATGGCCTGGGTTGTTGCTAAGACCCACCTGGGCGTCACCACGGTGGCAGCACGTTTTGCTGCCTCTGCAGGGCCACTCTGGAGCGCCATCCACAGTGATGTGCAACTGTTTGTGGAGCTGTGTCCAGCAGGCTTTGCTAAGACAATTTGTTTGATGAGGGGGTGCAGGGTGTGGGGTATGGCTTGGCCTTTGCCTTCATCTTTGTTTACCTGGTGGCTCCAAGTCTCTGATGGCCTGGTCTCCCCCGCCAGAGGTGTGGAGGGTGCTCCGTGTGGTGGCACTGGCCGCCTCTGCACTGCCAAGCCTGGCCATCTGGCTTAGCACTCAGTAATCTGTACTGCAGGCACGAGCGTCCCCTGCCAGCTGGTGCTGCTGCAGGGAAGGCTGGTCTGGGGTCTGCCTAGTGGGTAGTCGTCACAGCCGGCCATGTCTGAGGAGATGTCCACGTGGGTAGTATGTTCCTGCTTGTCACTTAGGAACAATGAGAGGGGCATCAGGAAGGTCAAGTGTGGTGGATCACGCCTGCAGTTCCAGCATCCTGGGGGGTTGAGGCGGGAGGATGGCAAGTTTAAGCCCACCCTGGGCAACTTAGTGAGACTCTGTCTCAAGAGAACAAGGGGTAGAAGCTATGGTTTAGTGCACAGGCCCCGGGTTCAATCCCCAGCACTACACACACATATGCACACACGTGTGCCCTCGCTCTACCCTAGGGAAGGCCACGAGGATGCAGTTCCTGTTGAGGGAGGTAGGGGTGGTAGAGGACGGCAGGGCAGCAGTGAGTTTTCCTTGGCAGCCATGTACATGCCTGTGGCTGGATCTGGTTGCAGCTGTGGTGACGAGTGGGGAGGACAGAGGATGCCCTGGCGAGCAGCTGCCCTGGTGTCCCTGTGCGGGTGCAGGGCTCCTCCCCTTAGGCCAGGGTGTCTTGCTGGGCCTTCATGATCTGTCGCCCAGATGCACTAGTGATGTGAGACCCAAGGGATACAGGTGGTGCTTGCAGTGGGGTGGGGGTGAAGGGGCCAGAACCAGCAGGCGGGAGTAAGGGCTCTTGTGCTCTGGGAGTCTGGAGAGTGCCCCTGGGAAGGTCAGACACCTGGCCTGATGGGTAGCCCTGGGACAAGCACAGGCCAGGCCATGTACACATCTGCGCTCTTGCCCAGTGTGGGCCCTCAGGTGGGGGCAAGCTGTCATGGCTGCTGTGGGTGGCAGGCTGATGGACAGCTTGTCCCTGGAGGCTGCTGCCATTTGGCCGGTGAGTTTCCAGCTGAGGCCCTGGGGGCTTGGGTCCCTGGCAGGCAGCCAGGCTGCCCTCCTTGCTATGAGCCATCCCCCTCATGCCTGTGTGGTGCGGGTCTTCTCTTTCAGGTGACGATGCCCGGTGAGCCTGTGGATGTTGCGTGCGGCGTGGACCACATGGTGACCCTGGCAAGGTCGTTCATCTGAGTCCCATTCTCGGCCAGCTCAAGGCTCTGCAGCAGGGACGTGGCACAGTGTTGTGCTTGAGTGGCCCTGTGTGCTCAGTGTCCGATGCTCTTGGCAGGTGCCTGTGCGGAGTCCTGGGGCTGAGGCCCCTCCTCCCGCCTGCATAGGATGGCTGCCCGCGGCAGCCCTAGCCCTGAGGAGCTCGGGCCAGTGGGCCGTAGGGCAAGGACATCAGGATGTTCTGCCCTGTCCAGCAGCACGTCAGGTCACGTCCCCCAGTCTCTTGGCCACAGGATGAGACCATGTCACACAGGCTCGGGAGGACATCCATTCCCTGCCATAGCACACTTGGTGTGTGCCCTGCCAGGCTCTGTGTGTACCTCGGGCTGAGCACTGCACGTCATGAGCTAGGCTGGCCTAAGGTGGGCCTTCATCCTTGCCCTACTCAATGCTGGCGCTGGTTGTTGCCACACTGCGGGCTCCCTTGGTGACTGTGCAGCCAGAAGTTGTGACCTAATGACCGTCCACTGCCAGCCTGGGAGGCTGAGAACCTTTCGAGGAGGACACTCGATCCACAGAGGCCTGCCTAGAGCACTGTGAAAGCAGTGGCATCAGGAGTGGACCTTCTCTTTTTCTTCACAAACAGCTTTTAAAAATCTCTTGGAATAAAGTCTTATTTTGTACTGGTTTAAAAACTGAATTAAAAAAAAAAAGGAAAACTGAATTGGTGCTTTAAAATGTTTACTTGAGCCAGGTGTGGTGGCACCCCTGCAATCCCAGCAGTTGGGAGGAGGAGGCAGCAGAGTTGCCGTGAGTTTGAGGCCAGCCTAGATTACATGGTGAGTTCAAGGCCAGCCTCAACTACATAGCAAGATGCTGTCTCAAAATTTTTTTACTTAATCATTAAGTTTAGCTTCTTTGGTAGAGGCAACTAGAGGCCAGTGAAAGCCACTGCAGGGGACAGGATAGTCCTACCTAGGATGTGTATTGCACCAGTGTCCTGCTCTCCTGCCTGGCCAACTGGGGTTCCTTGCACTGCCTGCTGGGCCCAGATCATTACCTGAGCAGACACTTGGTGTGGTCTTCACTGCCAAGCCCAGTTGACAACAGTTCCTGCCTGCTGCAGTTCACAAGGGGAGGAGATGTGAACACAGATCTAAGGGTGGGCAGGGGGTAGGGAGGGCTGGAAGGGGCTGTGGGTCGCTGTGACATCCCCAATGCAGACTGAAGGGAAGAGGAACAGTTCCTTTGAGCCAGGTCCTGCAGCTTTGGCCCATAGTCAGTGGCTAGAGGCTTCATAGCCCTGTGGGGGCAGGAGCTTCCCAGAAGAAGGCCTGGTGAGGAGGGGCAGCCAGCAGGGCCACCAAGGTGCTGAGAGGAGGGGCAGGGCCAGAAGGTCCCAAGGCCACGCCCATGCAGCCCTACCTCTTGAGTGACTTCACCTCCCCAGCACCATTCAGGAGCTGTCACTGGATCAGGCACTGACGTGGGGTCCATGTGATTAGGTGACCTGAGGGTGAGGGCCATGGAGGATGCTTTGCTTCATATCTAATGAAGCAGGTCTCAGGGTAAAGTGAGGGGTCCTGCCTGTGACAGGGTGCTGTGCTTGTTATGAGTGAAAAGAAAGTTCATTTTCCTCTTTTTTTTGCGGAACCGGGGATTGAACTCAGGCCCTTGCGCTTGCCAGGGAAGTGCTTATTCCACTGAGCCATCTCCCCGGCCCCTCATTTCCCTTCTGGAACTGTGGTTGCTGTCCCAACCTCATTTCTGGAACTGTGGTTGGGACAGCACTAAAGCAGCTACAGCGGGGGCAACAGGACACATGCTGTGACAGAGCCTGGGTCCCTCCAGCAGGATTCACAGACTGGTGAATCCTACAGTCCATGCTGGTGAGGTTAGACTGCAGCTGTTTCTCTTCCCATGGCGCTTCAGGGTTAAACTGAGCTGCATTCCCAGCACCTTTTAAACCTGCTAGTCAGATCTCTCTTGTGCTGGGGAAGAGGCTTGTGGTGAGCGCTTCCTTGGTGTGTGCAGGAGCCTGATCCTTAACATGGCAAAAACAACATCTCTGCTTCGCAAAGGCTGAGTTTCAGGGCTTTGTTACAGCAGCATTAAACTGACCAAGGTGCAGGGCTGACCAGCAGCTGCCCTGCGCCTCGGTCACTGTGCTCTGAATGACGATGACCTGGCCACTGGTCAGGGGCAGTGTGTTCTGCAGCATCCGGTGGCTCACAGCCCCTTGCCGTGGGGCTGCTCCTGCCTGGGATGCAATCCCTGCAGCCCCTGGGTTTTGTTTCCCCAGCCCCCCTCTGGAGAAGGGAAAAGGAAGTGTCCTCAGAGAAACCTCCACAAAACAACTGCTGCCAGCCAATGTCATTTTTTTCTCATTCATTTTAATTAACACTTTACAAAGTACAAAATATACTTTTTTTGGGGGGGAACATTAGGTACTTTTTTCTCTCCATCATACAGTACGTGAATCGCGAGGGTTCCGTGTTTGACAAAGAAAATAAGCGTGAGGGCCCTGGGGGTAGGGTAAGCCTGCCACTGGTTGCCTGCACCCAGGCCTGGGGACTAGACAGCCCACTGCTGCTGCTGCTGGTGACCGGGCATGGCATGCCAGGTGCGGGCGAGGGTACCTCGGGCAGGAGTGCCCTGCACCTCTCCCTCTCCCCATCCCAGGGTAACGGAAATGATTTTGGCATAGAGAGGGCTTGGTTACTTGTCCACACATGCTGTTTTGGAGTCAACCCCGCACAACTATTCCTGGGCCACCTTTTCTCAATATAGGTAATATAGGTAACTGAGGCAGTGGAAAGAAAAACTGGGCTTGGCCTGTCTTAGGCCCTGAATTTGGCCTTTTTGTCCCCCTGAACTGGGGTCTGCAATTTCCAGGATGTGCCCTTTGCTCAGGTCCCTTCCCAGAACCTGTCCCCATGAATACTGGGAGATCTGAGGCATCCACACAGGGAGAAAGACCTGGCCAGGTCAGGCTGGCTGCATGGAGAGCCAGGCTGGGCTAGGGACACCTCCGTCCTACCACTGGGTAGGTGTGGCACAGCAGTTTCACCCTTGCCTTGAAGCCAGCTGGGTCCCTATCCAGTCACCTCTTTTCACATGGCCCATGGACTCTAAATACTGAATTTAGCCAGGCCCTTCGTTCAGAGCATGCGCACACGCACACACACGCGAACACACACACATGCATAAGAACCACTTGTGCCACACCTCCACGGTCACCTCCCTAGGAGAGCAGGCTCCTCCCTCAGCTTGTGGAGAGGGACAATGAAGGCTGGGTTGTGGTTTTGCTGCTTCTAATTTGAAAAGGAAAGACAATTACCTGGGACAAGCTTTGCAATGCAGAAACAGGCTATCTAGCTACATGGGGCTCTCTCCTCCCAGCTGCCCTGTCCCTCTGTGGGTGACCTCACCAGGCCCAACCCCACCTGCCTGCAGTGCCTCTAGAAAACCAACAAGCTGAAGACCCCAACAATGCCCACTTGCCAGCCATGCGGCCCCTGCTCCTGTGGGCAGAGGTGGGGGTCATCCCCCTTTCTCCTTGCTTTGCTCAGAAAGGGACATCAGATTTGTCACAACAGGGTTACAGGGCTCTACAGTCACCTGGGAGCATCCCCCAGTCCCTCTCCCAGCTGAGGATAGGAGGAGCCCATGTACAGCCTAGAGACTCAGAAGGTGGCCAGGGTAACCTTGGGACCCGGAAAGGTCTGCAAGGGAAATACGGTGGCAGGTGGCTCAGGATTCCCTGTGAAAATCACCCAGTAGGCTGTGGCACTGGGCTTGGACTGGGCCTGTCCCATCTGCCACAATTCCCTCCTGACCTCGTTATCCTGATAAGCTCTGTTCCCCAGTAGGAGAGGACCCTTCTGCTTGGGCACCAAGCCGCCTGGTTATGTCCTCTACTCCACTTCTCACTGGGGACCTGCTGCCTGGGCTGCTGGTGGGGAGTGCTGGTGGTTGAGGGACCCAGGGCCCCCTAAATCTTGGGGAGGGGTTGTTATAGGGTCAGGGTTAGGGCCCTTGTCCCTGGAAACTTGTGGTCAAAGCTCCCTCCCAGATTCTGGGCTCCTCATGGTGGGACCCGTACAGGGATGGGGTGAAGGGTGAAGTCAGGGTGATGTCCACATGGTGGGCACTTCCCTCACTAGAGAGGATGAGATACACATTCCCAGGCCCGGGAGTGGATCTGGCCTGGTTACCCACGGCAGGGTTGTGTTCCAGGCCAGGGCAGAGGCAAGGGCGTCGTCTTCCTCCCCTCCCCCACACTGGCGTCTATCGCTGGCTGACCTGCTGGGGGACATGGGCACTCAACAGCCCTGCAGGGTTCTGCGGGAATGCACGGGCACCCAGGGGTGGCCGGGAGAAAAGTTGAGGGTACGTGCTTCCTTGCCAAGGCTTTGAGGACTACGCTTTGGTTACACTACACACAGAGAACAGAAAAGCACCTCGGACAAACAGCCAGGCTGGGGGGATCCCAGGGCCTCCCTGTGACCAACCAGCTCCCCCTAGGACAGCGGACCCTCACCCCAGCCTCTCCTCAGACAGCAAGGTCATCTGTGCTGCTCTGTACAGAGGGTGCCAGTCCCCAGAGCCGACCTGGCCAAAGAACCTGGGATTTCTAAATTTCTCAATAAAAAGCAAGAAATCTGGGAGGGGGCCTTCAGGAAAGGGGCCATCCGAGGAAGAAGGCCGGAGTGGGCCATGTGGCAGGCCAGGTGCTCCAGTAACACTGCAAGGGGCCATTCTGTTAAAAACAACTTCCAATCGCTCCTCTAGACCAACCCCTCCAATACAACATGGGTGTCCGGGGGCCAGGGCTGGAGCCGTGGGGTAGGGAAGCAGAACCAGGCCAGGGCTGGCCCTCTACACGGCCTTGCAGCAGGCTCTGTGGGCTGCTGGTTTTGTCCTCTCTCCAGGGAGGTTTGTGGGACCCAGAATGTCACAAAATCTTATTGCCTAGACTCAAGAATACTCGGCGGTGCAACCCTGCGCCTGTGGGCGTGGCCAACAGTGGGCGGGCTTTATGCCCACGCACGCGCACACAGGTGGGGGAGGTCCGTGCCAGGCCCCGAGCACGGAGAATATATTAACATATATATTGCTCAAGTATATATGCTATTTACAGTATATATATGTATATTAACATAAAACACAGGTATTTATAGGTGTGTACAATAGGGGGTCCTAGAAGTTTAGGGGCTACAGGACTCAGGACACCAAGCTGACGCACTGGCCTGGCAGGAAGGAAGCAGACAGAAAGGGTTGTGAAGAGGGGAGCCCCGGAAAATAAAGGCCTTCTACAGACAGAAAGGGCACTCGGGGCTACCACCACAGCCCTGTCCACTCAGCCACCTCCCTTTAGGGACCAGCAAACAATTTATGAGATTTGGTTACTTTTGGGGTTTGTGCAAAATGAATAACTTAAAAACCAAGCAGGAAGTGGGTCTCTACCTAGCATGCTGGGTCCCGCAAGGGTCGCTCGCCGTGCCTTGTATGGGGGCCTCCTCTCCGAGCCCCCACCTCCAGCCGGAGAAGCAGGTGGCCCCTTTCACCCCTGCCGGGTCAGCTGGTGGCCAGGGCCACAGCCTGGCAGTCCTGCCGGACCTCTGCTCCCAGCTGCCCCTCCTGAGACAGAGCCCCCATGTCTATCCCTGGACCCGTAGGGCCTCAGGGAAGAACTCAGAACCCATCTCTTGAGAAAAGAAATAACAGCCAACAGCAGCCCGGGGACAGCTGCCAATACGATAAATAAAAAACTAGAAAGTCTGATTTTCTCTATTAAGGCTCAGTTAAGCTGCCCCCTGGGTCAAGTACTCGTGAACCCCTGGCCTCAGAGGTCTGGGCGGTGGGCAGGGGGTGGGGGGTGGGTTGGGAGCCCGGCGGGGAGCCCTGTGCTGGTCTAGTCGACTGTCTGGGAGGTGGAGGTGACCTAAGAAACCCCAAGTGGAGAACACTGGGGGGAAACTGAGGCTCTGCCTGCCCAAGGAGGGTCCAGGAAAGCAGAGGGCAGAGAAGCTGGTGAGTGCCCGGGGGGAGCGCTGAGGGGAGGTCTGGCCAGGGCCCCTCTCGGCAGTTGTGCTGAGGTGGGGGCGCAGGCCCTGTGGTTGGCAGCCGGGGTCAGGGTGGCCCGCAGCCTCCAATCCAGGGCAGCCAGCCGAGTCCCGAACAAGAAGCAGCGATCACGTATTTAGCCCCTCACCTCAGGGGGGCCTCCCAGGGCTCCAAGTGCCCAGCCCAGCTCTGCCAGCCCCCAGAAAGAGCCCGGGGAGGAGATGGGGCTGCTCCCTGGCCACCTGGGCCTCAGATGCCATTTCCCAGGATGGGCTGGGGGAGCAGGTCCCTTTCCGAAGGGTTGAGGCTACAGGGAGGCCTTGGCCCTCAGGGCAGTGTCCCAGGCCGGTTGCTCTCCTGGTCTCTGGAGAAATACTGTAAGCACACACTGGGCACTGCAGCACCTGGGAGCGCCACCCTAGTGCTTCCCCGCCTGGCTGGCCTTCAGGGCACTGATCACCCCACCGATGTTCTCCTCTGGAACCTGGGGGCCGGAAGCAGTGGTGTGAGCCAGAGCCACTGCCTACCCCGTCCCTGCCCGCTGGTCAGGCACTCACCAGTGCATGGTCGAACTTGAACGTGCTGATGTAGTAGGCGGGGATGTCAGCTGCAGCCAGGGGCTCGGAGATCTGGGCCACGATGCCACACTCATCTGGGGAAAATGGGCAGAGCGCAGCCTTCGTGAGGCTGGGGGCCCTCTCCCTATACCTGGTCTCCCCAGAGCCTCCTGGACATCTCCAGCCCACTGCTCAGCATGCCCTCTACCCTTGCGGCTTCACGTGCCTGCTGTGTCCACGCTGCCCTTCTTCACCTGTGCCTGCCAGCGCCTTCCCTGCCATCCTGTGAGTTCGCTGTGGGCACAGCCAGAGGCTGTGTGGGAGCCCAGGAGGAGGGCCCGGGACTCGTCTGTCTCACTTGCCCCCTCCTTTTTTTTTTGGCAGAACCGGGGATTGAACTCAGGCCCTTTTATTCTACTAAGCCATCTCCCTGGCCCCCCACATGATCCCTTTCTTTGGAGGTGCTGAGAAATGAACTCAAGACTTCTGCCTCAGCCCTTTAAAAAAGCTACTTTTTTAGATTTTTTGGATACAGTCTAAGTTGTCCAGGACATAGTCTGAAATTTGAGATCCACCTGCCTCAACTTCCTAGAGTATTGGGATTATGGGTGTGCATCCCCATGCCTGGCCTTAATTTTTTGAATTAGGGGAAAATAAAGACCTCTGGCAAGTGTTTGATCCCCATATGAGGGGGAGGGGTACTTTTTGACGTCTGTTGCCATGCTGGAGCTGTCCCATGGATGCCTGCCTGTCAGCCAGGAGACACATCGGTCACACACTCGTCAAGGGACGCTTGGAATGGGGACTGCGGCCTCTTCAGCCTCCCCATTTATTGCACCCAGCAGGGGCTGAGCCACCCTGTGGGCCCCGGCTCACCAAATCCCAGGGGCTGCCCTCCAATCCGCACCATCTTCCACAGCTCTCCGGACGCGCTGGTGAACAGAAGGTTACTGGGGAACCTGCAGGTGAGAGGGGGTCAGGGCTGAGATTCAGTGCTTCCTGCCTGCCTGTCCCTCCCAACGTCCTGGCTGCGCAAGCTTCTTGCCTGGGTGGCGACAGGGAATGGCCATGCTGGGTCAGGGCAGTGGAACAAAGGACACCGAGGCGATGGTCGGCACTGCCCTGCTTATCTAGGGATGAAGCGGGAGCCCTGGCCCAGCCTAGCCCGCTCACCTCTGCTGGGTCTGCACATCCATCACCAGGGAGATGTAACCCTCGATGAGGGAGAAGGAGAAGAAGCGGATGTGGCCGCAGTCCTCGCCAGCTGCCATGGGGTCCTTCACCCTGGGTGTGGGAAGCGGGTGAGCAGGTCCCCACCACACTGCCCCGAAAGCCAGGCCAAGCACTGCCCTGGCCCAGGCATCCAAAAAGGTGGGTGCCACACTTCACACTGCCCAAGTCTCCCATGTGAGATCGGTGTCCTTGTGTATCCCAAGCCCAGGCTTCCAGCACAGGCTGTGGTCACAGCCAGCTCACTAGGCCTGTCCCACCCCACCTGGTGTTGGCCTAAGTTTGGCAAAATCCATTTTGAGGATGGATGCAAGATCTGTTACTTCCCCGAAGGGCAAACACTAAGTTCTCCGCCCCTCAATGGACCAGGCCTGCATGGAATGCAGAGGAGTTCAAGCCACCAAATCCATCACGTCCCAGGCTGGACCTTTTGAGTGGCTTGGGTCTCCTCCATCAGACCAGCTCCCAGACAGGCCTGTACCTCTCCCGTCTAGCCACTGGCCCAGACTGCAGTGTCCTGCGCCCACACGGGCTCCTACCCGTTGGAGTAGAACATGACGTCCATAAGCAGCGTGGCCACGGCAGGCAGTGTGTCGGGGTCCAGGCTGGTGACACAGAACCTGTTGCTGGGGCTGGTCAATGGGTGGATGACCGGCCTCTGAACTGCGAAGGCATAAAGACACAGTAGTAAGGCCGATGTGGAGTGCAGCTGTGAGGCCAGGCGGGCCAAGAACGAATCTGGGCCCGGTCCACTCCAGCAGGGCCACTTGCAGGCATGGTGAGCCTCAGCCTGCTGCCTCTCCACCCTTCATGGCCACCAAAAGCTGCCCGGGGGGCCTTTATGTCCATCCCAGCTATCAATACCCAGGCTAGTTTCTGCTGGGTCCCAAATTCTATTCCATGCCCCTGGGAGCTGGGGTAGAAGGGACCTCTGGCTGTCACTGGCTACACCCACATCTACCGCCTTGCTTGCCTGAGATGGCAGGATCCCAGCACTACAGTAAGACTGGTGTTCGCAAACGCTCCATGGGCGGAGCCGGGGTGCAGCACGCAGAACCCAACCCAACGCACCCATCTTGGGCTTCACAAAGCCGTTGGTGATGCCCAAGTTCTCAGCTGCCACCGTCTCGCCATTGACGACCCGCAGGATGGTGAACTCTGACGACAAGGTGTGGGTGACAAAAGGCAGGTCCCGCTCACGCACCTGGGGGGCGGGACAGAGGCTGAGTGGGCGGAGCATGCGTGCATGCGAAGCGAGCAAACATGCAACTTGCGTGTCGGTACGTGCGCATGCGTACGTGTGCGTGTATGCGTGTGTACGTGCGCATGCGCTTGGGCGCTCACCAGGATGAAGTCCGTCTGGTAGGTGGACAGCATGAAAACCGAGATGTTCTGGTCGGCCAGCGGGGCTATTACCGACTTGGCGATCTTGGTCACACCGATGGGTTGGGAACTTGAGAAGCTGCCGCCGCCTGACACCACATTGAGGGCCAGCCATGTAGCATCTGCCACGCTCAAGTGCTCTGAGCAGGGCAGCTCTGTGGAGTGACACAGAGGTGAACCTGTGACTGTAGGGGATGTGGCTGTCCCCGGGGCCAGCCCTGTTCCTTTCGGGAGTAGTCAGTTTTCTCCTTTATCAACAGAATGGGAACCTTGGCTAGATGGGAACCACACAGGTCTGGCTTGCCAAGCCTCAGTTTCCCCAGCTATAGACTGGAGTCAGCAATGCCTTTGATTCTGTAGGTCTTATAGCTCCAGAGCCAGAGGAGGACCCTGGGATCTTTCTCTTGTGCTGCCTACAGGGCTTTGCTGGAGGAGTTTGTGGCTCCAAGAGGCTGTGCCTGTACACTGTGACAGGCAGTGACTGTCACCCAAGTGTCCCTGATAGCCCGGGCCCTTGGGTGGCCTGCTGTGGGCAGGGTGGGGCGGCTTAGAGCAGCAGCCATCACCATCTCTTAGATGGGCTCACAATCCACAGTACCGGGGTGACCCACCCTGGAATGCAGGAACCATGCCACAGCCCCAGCATGGCTGCACTTGGGGTCCTCCATGCACCCAGGGAAACTACTGAGGCCCGCCCAGGACCAGGCCTGGACACTTGGAAAAGTAAGTTTTTTTTTTTTTTTTTTGGGGGGGGGGGGGCGGAACCGGGGATTGAACTCAGGCCCTTGTGATTGCCAGGGAAGTGCTTATTCTAATGAGCCATCTCCCCAGCCCCGTTTGTTTGTTTGTTGAACCGGGAATTGAACTCAGGCCCTTGTGCTTGCCAGGGAAGATCTTATTTTACTGGGTCATCTCGCCGGCTCAGGCCCAGACACTTGGGAGGCAGATCTGACCCTGTGCTCCCCGCTGAGCGTTTTTTCCACAATTAAGACGCCTAAAAGGCTCAGTGATTCACCTAGGATCGCAGGGAGTAACAGAGCTGAAACTCTACTCGGGCCTGACTTAGAAACCCAGGCTCTGTCCTGGCCACATTGAGGGAGGGGAAATTGTATCCCCAAGGAGAAGGATGCCTCCAAAGCTGGAGAAGAGAGAACTGAGAGGTCCATCCGGGTTCTTCCTGCCAGGTTCTGGTCGCCATGGTGATCGCCGCCTCATGAGCCCATTGGTCCTGCAGGCTCAGCGGACCGGTGGTCAGCCTGAGAGGCGGAGGCCAGAGCAGAGTGTCCTGAGGCTTCTGTGAGCTCAGGCCAGGGGCTCATCCCTCCCACCGCTCTTCAGGATATGAAGACCAAGGTCCCCATCTGTCCCTCTCCTGGAATTTTTCTAGGTCTGTGCTTGGTTGTGGAGGGAGCTCGGGTGTGTGTTTGATCCCTCATCTCCAGGCTGTGCAAGCAGGCAGACCTGGAAGCCAGTGGGGTACGGATGCTGATTTTCTGGGGTACAGAAAATGCCCCACCCGTTTTGCAGTATACTGGTCGCTCACTTGTAGTGTCGGTTCCAGACAACCCCGCAATAAGTGAAAATCAGCGAAGTAGCAGCACTGTTTTAGTATTTATATATATTTTAAGGCCTTATAAACCATTGTTAGTAGCTATTTTCTAAACTCATAAAGCTACTTTTTTTTTGGTGGCGGTTCTGGGGATCAAACTCAGGATCTTGCACTTGTCAGGCAGGCACTTAAGCCACTGAACTATATCCCCGGCCCCAACCTATGTAATTTTAACAACATACATAAACTGTATGGTGCTGCAAAATCCCACAATACAGCAGAAAATACGCGATAAATAATTTAGTCAGTTTTGACACAGCCAAGGATAGCCTGACACTTGCAGCCTTCCTGCCTCAGCCTTGGGACTGTGGCTGTGCACCATCACGCAGAGAAAATGGCCTGGCTCATCCGCGCAGAACCTGCAGAGCTTTTGTGGAAATTGGTGCGGCTGCTTGGGTCACTGCATGATCCCATGTCTGGGCCTTCTTGGCTTTGAGATTCTTCTTTCTCTGCTCCAAGCTTCTTCAGAACAAGCCCCGTGGCTTCCTGTCTTTTCCGAAACAGAAGCCGATGTCCTTGCAGTGTTCCGAGCAGGGCTGCCCAGAGAGCTTTCTGGGGTGACAAATGGCATGTCCTGTCCCATCCAGCTGTTGCCCCCTACAGCCACAGGCGCTGTTATGTGCTGTGGAAGACGTGAGGCTCTGGCGTTAATCTTATTCATTTAAATTCCAACAGCACACGATGGGTGGCAACCTCTGCCAGTCCTGATTCCACCAACCCCAGTGCCTGCTGGATGGGTGATGAGGCACGGACCCTTCGACCCTTCTCCCCACCTTGCACTCCTCCCAGGGTCAGCCAGCCTCTGGTCACACTGCCAGGCCTGGGACGGGTAGTCTTCAGTATCATCCCCTACACCATAAATGCCAGACTTGGGAGAGGGCAGGGACAGCCGTGTCCTGGGCCGGGCCACCTCCTCTGGTGCTCCATCAGTGAAGCCAGGGCTTCCCCATCCATCTGTGTACACTCCAGCTGGCTGAAATGCTACTTCTTCTGTTCCCATTTTCTGGAGCAGGACACCAGGTTCAAGGTCACAAAGTGGCAGGCTTCCAGAAAAGCAGTTCTGTCACAGTGGGGGGCTGGGTCGCAGGAGTGTCCATTGGGTGTGGCCTCAGAAGGGAGGAACCTTGCTGGCTGTCTTCCCCATGGGCAGGGATGGGTGAAGACACATGCAGGGTACTGATGTCACCAAAGCTCTGCTGCCAGCCAGGGCCTTAGGGACACTAACCAATACTTCCAGAAGGGGAGCTGTGATAGTACCACAGGGGAACAGAGACCCTGTGTGCTGCCCTGAATCCCGAGGGACATGGATGAACCTAGGCCTTGGGGTGCCTGAGGGGCCATCGGGGGAAGCCCCAGGGAGGCTGGCCAGGGTAGTAAGCAGTCCTTCCCCAGAGGAGATGTGGTCTACTCCCAGGGGGAACTGATTATCTGTCACTGCCCACTGTCTGAGGCTTTCCCCTCCCCCAAGCTCTGGAGCTCAGGCAGTCCCTGAGCAATGACTCCTTGTGGTGGTTGTCCCAGGCTTCGTGGCACCTGCACTTCTCCAGCTCTGCCCACCTTACTTGCACTTGGGTCCTTAGGTCAGGCCATCTGTGTGGCTTTAGGCCTAGTCACTGGCCCTCAGACTTTTTTTTTTTTTTTTTTTTGGAGGCGCCATTGTGTAGGTCAGGCTCAGCCTGAACTTGTTTATGTGGCTCAGTCTGGCCTCAAACTCACGGCGATTCTTTGACCTCAGCTTCCTAGGTGTTGGGGTTACAGTGAGCACCACACCTGTCTTTTAAATGGTTTTCCGGTGCAGGTGACAAGCAGAGGCCTGACAGCGTTTTGAGGAGTCCCAAGGTGATCCCCATTGAGGATCTGCACTGAGAGCACCCAAAGCCACTACTGAGGTCAGCTTCCTGGGTGCCTTGGGCAAGGACAGTAGTGAGGGGGAGAAAATTGCAGTTTCCTGAGGTGTGGTGGTGCACGCCTGTAATCCCAGTGCTCTGGGAGGCTGCAGCAGGATTGCAAATTCAACCCCGATTTGGGCAATTTAGGCCCCATCTCAAAAATTTAAAAAGAGGGCTGGAGATGTAGCGCAGTGCACAGGTCCTGGGTTTAATCCCAAGAATCACACACACACACACACACACACTCACACACACACACACACATACCCCCCAAAACAGAAAACAGAAACCAAACCCCCCCAAAACACACACAAAACTGCAACAGGTTATCTAGCTATGAAGCATTTGTGCAGAATCGGCGTGTCAGCGTAACACATATGCCGAGACAGGCAGGTGTGCTCAGTATTCGAGGGTGAACTGTCCTGGCACCTTAGTTCTCAGGGACTCGCCAAGCAGTCGTACGTGTCCATGCTTGTGCACAGGTCGGCTGGGAGAGGACCACTGTCCTGGGCGTGCAGGGACTTGGCTCCAGGCCAGGGCTCAGGGCGCTCCTCCAGGAGGCCTCCCTGTCCTGCTGGTTGGGAGCCACCTGAGAGTCAGGAGCACCAGAAGCTGGCTTTTGGAGGCTACTTGGTTTGGCACAAAGAGCAGGAAGTTAGAGATGAACACATCCCTATGTGGGTGTCAGTGTGCACATGGGGGCTCCTCAGGGACGAGTGTGCCTGGCAGCACTGTGGGGAACTGGCCCTGATTCGCAGGAAGTAAGGGTGGCTGTGCTTGGACTTGAATCTGGGGCTCAATATGGTACTGTCCCACTGAGCTTTGTTTCATGCTGCTTTGAGTCATGCTGTGTTACCCAGCTGGTCTCAAAGTCCTAGGCTCAGGTGAGCCTCTTGCCTCAGCCTGCCAGGCAGCTGGAATTACAGGGGTGTGCTACTGCCCCTAGCAGGAGTCACGCTGACATCATCCTCCACTTCTCTGCCAGTCCCTGCCCACTGCCCACGCCTACTCTGAGTGGGATCTGGGGCATCACTGTGACCTGTCGTGGTTTACAGATGAGGGACTGGGCTGACCTTGAACCTGGTCCTGTGCTGCCACTCAAGGCTCCCCAATGCGGGGTCCCAGGAATACCTACCCGAGTGCATTCCTCGTATGACAAGTGCCATCTATGGACCCTGCCCCCTCAGCTCCTGTGTTCCCCAGCCCCTGCCCCTGTTGCCCCCCCACCCCACCCCCATTCTCTGTAGCACCCCCAGTCTCTGCTTTTGCATTCTGCTCTGAGTGTCTCCAGCTTCAGAGCCTAGTGGCCCCACGCAGGGGCCTGGGGAGTTGCTAAGCTGCAGTCCCTCCCCCGTAAGCTGGGTCTTCACACTTCCCCCACCCCAGGCCTCGAGAACAACTCCTAAGTCCCCACAGAACCTCAGCCCCCAGGCAACAGTACCAGGATGGATGGTCCTTACTGTTTGGCAGCACCAGGCGAAGTGTCCTGCCACAGGGTGACAGCTGCAGCCCACGGGTCCGTTACGAAGGGCTCCTTGAGGCCCCTGCACACTGTCTTCTCCCTGTACCCCCCTGATAGGCTCCAAGTCCAGTTCCATGAGTGACCATGTCCACTCCACAACCTTCAATGGCTCCCCCACCATAAGCCTTCTGGGTCTGCTCAACCCCCTTAGAGGACCCCCACTTCTAGGCCATCTGCCACACTAGGGTGGGGACTAGGTGTGTAACCAGCACCGGCTGCAAGAAACCCCTCCCTGGGGACTCCTGGGGGGTGCCTCCCTCTTTCCTAAGGTCTCACCCCAAACATGTGGCCTCCTGGAAGTCCTCTCAGACTGCCAGGGTGGCCTTGTCTTCTGGCACTGTAAATCTTGTAAAAATATTTTGCAATACTGGAGGACTGAACCCAAGGCCTTCACACTGGGCTTGTTGAAAAAACAGCTGAAGATATAGCTCAGTGGCACAGTGCTGCCTGGTAAGTGAAAGGTCCTGTTTTCAATTTCCGGTACTGCCCTCCCCCGCAAAAAAACCACAAAGAGCATAAAAAAAGGAAAAAGCCCAGCCTTTTTAATTTTTTTTTCTTTTTGGTGTGGTACTGTGGAATGAACACAGGACCTTGTGGATGCCAGGTAGACGCTTATGCCACTGAGCTGCCTCCCTAGTCCTTAAAATGTATTTTGAGACAGGATCTCACTGAGTTGCTGCCTCAGCCTCTGCGTGCTGGGATGACAGGCATGTGCCACCAAGTCTGGCCTAAGATGCACTTCTGACCTTTGACCTTTTCCCCACAGGGTGGGGCACCCAACTTCCTGGTGTCCACCTCCTGAGCCCAGCTGCTCCCACCCTCTCCAGCGGTACAGTGGTGTCCTTTGTGACTTCCCACTTCCTCCTCCCACAGCAGGGCCAGACAGGTGACTGACTCCTGCTGCGCTTAGCCCAGGCTCCCTGTGGCTGGAGGCCAGGGCACACAGAGCAGTGGGGCAGTGATGGCCCCAGGGTCCCTGAGGATGTGGCTTCCTGGCACTCACAGTATGGCCCCTGGGTTGTAGCAGTGTTTCTGAGTATCTGCTCCCAGGGAACAGGTGACCGCGAGGTTCGTCCACTCTTGAGAAGCCCACAGCTCTGGGCACAGATGCAGGGCGTCCGTAGTAAACCCAAGCTTATCAGCTTTCTGTGTGTGTGTGTGGTGGGGGGTAGTGACTGGGGATCGAACCCAGGACCTTTGTACTGAGCTATACTTCCTACCCTTTTCAGGCAGGGCCTCACTAAGTCATTTGAGTTATGCAGGCTGGGCTGTTTTTTGTTTTTTTTTTTTTAAATGTATTTTAGTAAAGGCTCTACAGGGTCTCGCTACACAGACTGGACTCATAGTGATTCTCCTGTTTCGTCTCCCAAGTGCTGGGATTACAGGTGTATGCCACCATGCCCAGTCTCAGTCTCAGTCTCTGTCTCAGTGTGCCCTGGGGGTGGGGCTGGCTAAGCCAGCACTTCTGTCTGCTGAGCTATTTGGCTGGCCCTTGGACTTGTGTTAGTGAGCCTCCTGTCTCAGCCTGCCAGCACGCTGGGATAGAGGTGTGCTGGGTGACCTGGGCTTTGTAATGAAGGCCAAAGTCCCTGTCTATAGCCCTCATGGTCAGAAAATGCTAGCTTTCAGGCAAGGTGCATGGGGAGGGGTTGCACACACTGTGCCCCTGTAATGTGGAGCAGGAAGCCCCCTTCAGCTCTGGCCCATGCACTCCCTCTCAGAGTGAGAGGGATATGGTGCCTCTTGAGATGTGGGGGCCCAGGCCCAGCACCCCACACTTGCTTTGTGCTCCAGAGTACATGTGTGTAAAAGCCGCCACCAAGTAGCCCAGGCGGCCACCGCAGTCCCTTCCTCCAACCTTCGATTGCTCACCACCACCAGTGACGAGCAGCCGGTGCCTGGGTGCAGTGATGTGAACAGAAACACACCACAGCCGACTTCCACTCCCAAATGCCATTTCTGAGCCCAGCTTAAGAACCAAGCGCGGCGACTGTAACCTGTGGGGAGCAGCTTTGTAAGGTATCACTGGAGGAAAGGAAAATGGCCGCATGCTGCCCAGGGGCGTGGCCACTATGCCTGCTGTCTGAGCCATGGGAGGCAGGCACGGGCTCCTCTGCCGGAAGTGGGGACACGCCGTCTGATCAGGTCACAGGGACCTGCGTCCAGAGAAGGGTGGGAAGGAAAAGCGCTAATGGGCTTTAAAAGAAGTCCTTGAAAGGTGACTCAGTGGTTGCCTCATGGGTGGCTTTTTTAAATGTCATACTGACTGCATTCTCTGCCTCCACTCCTTTGCACTGACCTATACATCCCCAGCTTGCTCTCTTTTCTTTCTTTCTTGTTAACTTCTTATTCTGAGACTGGTCCAGGCTTGGCTTAAACCTGTAGTCCTCCTGCCTCAGCCCCTTGGAATTCCGGGATCCCAAGCTTGTACCACAGTACCGAGTTTCTCTCCATGTTTTGAAGGATGCCACTGAATGATGTTGCAGGAGTCTGAGTCCGCTGTCCTGTGGGGGCAAAAGGAACTCTCTCCCTCATTACCCAGGCTGTGCAGCTGACAAGGCTGCTGAGTATCGGTGACTGTCCAGCCTGTGGCCTACGAGTGCTCCACCGATGATGGCCATCACTTAACATTGAAGGGCCTGGGGCAGGTAGGACAGATGGGGGCGACCACTAATGCACAGTGCAGAGCTCCTCTGTGTGTGTGTGTGAGAGGCTGAGAATGTTCTGGAATCTAGAGGCTGGGCAGGGCCCGGGCACTCACCCAGGAAGCCTTCCTCATCCACGATGATGGTGTAGTCCTCAGGCGTCTCCGTCAGACTGAAGAACTTGCACCTGGGTGGGCAGACACAGGATGTCTGGTTAGTCCTGGCAGCACCCTGTGGCAGCCATGTACCTGTGACCTGCCAGCATGTGCCTCGGTTTGCCCCGAGGGGCCTGCTGTGTGATCCCAGGAAGCTGCTTGTCCCACCCCCCACACTGCCCCAGTTCTGATGGAGGTGGTCGTGGGGAGGCCTAGGAAGGCCATCTGCTGTTGTGTATGACCCCTCTTCTCTGGGAACCCCTGAGTCAGGCTTCAAGACCCTGGGGTGGACCAGAGAGTTCTGACGTCAAAGGGAGGCTCTGCAGGAGTGTGATGAGAGAGGTCCCCACACTGTCCCCATCGCTCTGTCCCTGTTCATCAAGGCCGGATTCTGACAGGGCGAGCATGGCTCCCTGGGATACTTCTGGGCTATGCACCACTGCTTATTTCCCTCCCAAATGAGGCCCCCATCTCTGTTGGCTGAGGACCCCAGAACTTTGCAAGCAGGCAGCAGATGCCTGGGGCAGGTGACAGCCAGTGGAGTGTGGTGGGGACGGGGCTAGGCTTCCAGGCGAGGACAGTCACATCCCTAGCACTGCTCTGGAGCATGAAAAAGGAGTGTGCAAGGTGGGTGTGCACACGCCCGGGGGTGGGGACAGGGCACACTGCAGCCTGAGAGACCAGGCTGGCTCTGAGCCCAGGGTGGGAAGCCCATCCATGACTCACCAGTTGGGCCCAAGATCAAAGCGGAAATGGAATATGAAGATGGACACAAGGTCGCAGGGCTGGGTCCCCTCCCTGGGTTCCTCCCACCATCAGCTGCCCTGGGCACTTGAGGGCTGGTGTTTCTTCCTGTGTGCTTAGACCCCAGGACCTGGCGACTGTGTCACTATAGGTTCAGCCTGGGAAGATGCAGCGGCTGCCACACAGACCCTCAGGGCCTGGTCAGCCCACAGCACACAGGAATCCAGGCAGGTATGGGGAAGGAGTCACCCGTCTCTTAGGCATCTGGCATCTGGCCAAACCAGAGAAGCCACACCTAGATGGTGAACTGCTGTGACTGCACCTGCACAGCTCTGGGAAGAGGCCAAACACAGTTGCCCACGGGGGCTGCACCAGCTGGCTAAGATACGCTGGGAGACATTTGTAGGTGATGGGCCTGACCCCTCTTCTGTACTTTTTAGAGTACTGGGGGGTGAACCAAGGGCCTTTTCCCTGAGTGCCATCCCCACCCCTTTTTATTTTTAATTTCAAGACAGGATCCTGCTAACCTCCCGAGCTCCAGGCAGGGCTTGTACTTGTGATCCTCCCGCCTCAGCCTTCCAGAGCACTGCAATGCCAGGACCGAGCCACTAAGCCCGACTGGCTGTTTCCTGACCGTGGGGGTGGCAGTCACAAGATCTCACATTTGTCATAAGTTCAAGACTGGGAACGACCCTTGTTCCACAAACCTGGCTTGAATGGAGGACCTGGGGGTGGGGTGGGGAGAGGTGGCCTTCTGTCCCAACCTCTGCGTCCGCCACCAGTGCAGACGCTGCCACTTCCCGCCTGCTCTTGTTTTCCAATCCCATCTGTCCCTGACAGTTAGTCCCACAGTCGGCAAATCATCACCACAGTGAGTGGCAGTCATGGGCATGGCCTGGCCGCTTGCTCACGGGACCTGTGTAGTAGAAGCCCCTGATGCCATAAGCTGGTGGGCATGGAGAGGGACACCAGGGCCTGTTTGTCTCTGCTACCCCTGTGGCCCCGAGGAACACTCTAGAAATAGCCATGCGAATTCTTCCTGAGGGCAGAAGGCGAGGACACGGCAAAAATAACCAAGGGACCGGAGTGAGCATCCCCAGGCCAGCACCAGCCCTGCCAGCTGTCGGATGTCCGTCTCCCCACGACGTGCACAGGCAGGCCTCCAGCAGGAACACTGCTGCGCTCGCTCAGGTCACCAAACCTGGGGACAGCCTGGGTACTTTGAGGCCAAGTGCCAAGCCTCTGGGGCAAAGTCTTCCCTCATCCGGCGGCATCAGCCAGCCCTTCTGCCATCACAGACACAGTCCTTCCTCAGTGACCCATGGCTTCTGGCACAAGGACCTCCTGGTGATTGTGGACGGCAACTCCAGGGGGAGTCTGTTCAGGTCACAGTCGATGTGAATCATGCCTTTAGAATGAAGCAGTATACAACCGGGGCAGCTGCACACGACAGTCCCAAGTGCTTTCCACAGACTCTTACCCAGAAGACTTTGGCAGTCTGCACCCTTCAGCAGACCTGTGCTCTCAGGCAGGTGCTTGGTCCTTTGCACACACACCCAGCACCCGCCACTGCCTGGGCCTAGGCTCAGTGACTGCGTGGCTCAGGTAGGTGGTTACAGTAACAGCTGGCTGACACAGATGGCTTGGGAAGTACGGAGGTATCTGTTTTAAGAGGGCTGAGCAGCAGGCTCATGCCGCCTTGCCTTCGTAGTTGGGCAGTGGGGTGCTGAGTCTGAGTCTCTGACTCCTCCCCTCCCCTCCCTTTTCCTCTCCCTCCTCTTCCTGATCCTCCTGCCTCAGCCTCCCAGGGTGCTGGGATGACAGTGTGCACACCACACAGTGCTGCAGATGGAACCCTGGGCGCAGCATCCTAAGCAGACCCCAGCCCTGAACTGTGCCCTCAGCCCTTAGTTCTTTGAAGATACCTGCTTCTTGGATCCTGGCCAGCTCCCCTTCTAGCACACGGACAGTGGGGTGGGGATCTGCGCCTGGCCAGCAGGGCTGGGAGACAGGAAGGGGGCACCCAACTGTTGGCTCTGGGGTACAGTGGAGGCAGATTTGGGCAGATAGGACAGCATCCTCTCTGACCCTGTGCACCTGCCAGCCACGCCCACCAAGCTGGGGAACCACAGTTGCTACCGTGATGCCCAAGCCCCGGGAGCTCATCCAGGTCTACAGGTACAGCAACAGGTCCTGAATGCACCTCCAGCTGTTTCTAAACCCCTAAAGGTGCTGGACGCTCTCACACCAAGTGCTGATGAAAAAGGGCTGGGTGTGTTCACATGGGACTTCCTCTGCAGCATCGTGTCCCCTCCAGGGGTCCACAGCTTCACTTATGAGGTTCTGTGCAGCACACGCTCAAAGCAAAGTAGGGGTTTTTTTTTGGTTTTTGAGACAAGGTCTGGCCTTGTACCCCAAGTTGGCCTCAAACCTACAATCTTCCTGCCTCAGCCTCTCGAGAGCTGGGATTACAGGCTTGTGCCACCACAGCCAGCCAAATCCAAGCTTGCTTGGGGGTAATTCTTAGACTTTTCCCCCCTCAGTAGTTTCAATCCTCCATTGGTATGACACCCCCATTTCACAGACAGGAACACTGGGACCCAGGTGGCTGAGGCAGCTGCTGCCTCAGCTCCCCTGTGACTCAGCCTTTCTGCCCAAGGTCCCCACCCCCACACGGAGCTGTAACAGGAGACACGGTGGTGGTGGTGGCGAGAGAGTCTGGGACATTGTGTGCTCCTAACACAAGCCTGGCTCTGGGCCAGCTGTCCTTCAGTGGGAGGGGAGCAGAATGGTGGCGGGATTACCCAGCTTTGACACTGACAAGCCATGGGGACATGCCAGACTCAGGATACCAGAGGAAGTAGAAAAACAAGTCCCCAACATCACGTACAGCATGGCTCTCTATTCTATGGAGTTAAAAGTAGCCTTCATGGCAAAATATACCTTAAGGCCAGGCCTGGTGGTGCATGCCCATTGTCTAGTACTCAAGAGGCTGAGGCAGGAGGATCCCCAAGAGTTTGAGGCCAGTCTAGGCTACACAGTGATTTTGAGGCCAGCCCGAACCACATAGTGAGACCCTGTCAAAAAAAAAAAAAAGGAAAACAAAAACCATCTCAGAGGGCTCCACCTGGCTGCGACACAGGACACAGCCAGGGACACAAGGCTGCTGTCCCTGTTGGTGCACGCTGACCCCATCAGTGACAAGCAGAGCCCATGGCTGCAGCACAGTGCAGAAAACAAAGGCTGGAGCCATGAGGGTCCTCCTGTGAGGCTGCATCCCAGCACCCAGTACTGTCTGAGTCAGGGGGCCAGCCAGGCCGCCCAGGGGTCTGGAGCACCCATGGCCCCACCTTGGTCCTGGGACCACAGCACCTCCCTTTGGCCCCTTCCTGCCAGAGCTGCGGGCCACAGGGGCAGAACTCCGGAATGGCGATGCTTGGTGTGGGGCTGGGCCACCACACGGCCTCTGAGTCTGCCTTGTCCTAAGGGGTGATGCCCTGCCCCCAGGAGGTCCGTGTCCCTGCAACACGAGTAGGCACAATGTGGATGCTGTCAACCTGCACGTGTCTCGGCCTCCCTTTCAATGCCAAGCTGGGGCAACGGTGCTGATGTGCCTTGCTCCTGCCATGCTCCCCTGGGGGCTGCTGAGGACACACAGGCAGGTAGCCGCTTAGTTTCCAGAGGATACATGCAGCTGTAAAATGAAAGCTGGGTGTGGTGGTGCATGCCTGTAATCTCAGCACTCTGGGAGGCTGAGGCAGGAGGACTGCAAATTGAAGTCAAGCCTGGGCAATTTAGGGACTTAGTAAGATCCTGTCTCAAAATGAAAAAATAAAGGGCTGGGAATAGCTCAGTATAAAGGACCTAGGTTCAATACCCAGGACTGCAAAACAAAAAGATACTAAACACAAGCAAAATACTAGGCTCTGAAGCTCCAAACAGCCCTGCCTTCACCCTGTAACATTCCTGGGGAGCCTTTGGGTCGCTACTTTAAGGCTCTGTTCTGACCTGGGCCCTGTTGGGTCTTGCCTGGAGCTGTTGTCCTGTTGCCTAGCAGTGAAGTATCCTGGGGGGCTTACCCACATCCCACACCACTCATGCTGTGGCTCCCTGATGTCCTCACTGCCGGCATCCCTTCTGGGCCCAGAAAGCTGGCTGTCGGCACACAGGTCCCTGGGGTGCCTCCTGGCGGGCTGTCATCCTTGGCTCCTTGCCCTCCCACTCCATGGCTAGTTTCCTCCATCCTAGAAACTGTCTTCCCTCCCTGCCCCCAGCCCTTACTTCCCAC